TAGTATTATCCCTTGCGATAATCAAAGATTTATGATCAGTAATTCAGAAGGGACAACTGTTAAAATAATTGAACAACACCAAGAAATAAAAGAAACTGCAGAGCAATAAACTAAATAAAAAATAAATCAATGGGATTATTATCATTTCAATGTTACAATATCATAATAAAACCTGTGCCACATCTTCCATCAGATATACACAGTGGGTATCCGTTCATTCGCTGGCTCGTAGGGATCGATTGAAACAAATCTCACAAACGCACAAGATCCGTGAGATACTTGACGGATCTACCATCAGATTTGTACTAAAACCTACAAGCCAGCGAATGAACGAGGTACCTATTTCCTGAGAACTCCGTTTTCCTGCTACATTACTACTACTGCCACGGGAAGTCTATAAATACAACAAACTTTGATAATAGTGTCAGACACAGCGCTGGGACAGACACCGTTTATATTATAGACACGGTTTTACCAGGGAGGCCAACCACGCTTATATCTGTCCTTTTCAGCATAGGGTGATTGGAAGCCTTGATTTATCTTCGTAAGTAACCTCAATGAAAGATGAAATGGACTAATAAAATTCACCGTTGAAAAATTTGTCTTTGTTTGTGTTGTATAGATATTGCAAATATTATGATGTAACGTTTAAAATCCGAACATTTAGATACCTATAACCAATTTTCAACCCGTTATCATTTTTTTCTCAAATTCCGTAATCATTCCGTAACTCTTACAATTTTGTGTCTACTTGATTTTAGCAACGCTTTTAACACTATTGATTTCGATGTTTTGATTCATATATTACGCTCTGTTTACATAGCTCCATCAGCTATTGATTGGTTACGAAGTTACCTGTCTGGATGCCGGCAGCGGGTCCGCATTGAGAATTCATTTTCCTCGTGGTGTAATATCACTACCAGGTACCTCGGGGTGGCGTGCTATCTCCTCTTCTTTTTGCAGTATACATTAATTCTATTTCATGTCAATTAGTTTCTTCCTACCATCTCAATGCAGATGATTTGCAGATTTATTCTCAGGCTACTGTTGAAAATATTAATTCAGCCATCAATAATCTGAATAAGGACTTATGTCAAATTTCTGAATGGAGCCGTAGTCATGAATTGCTGATAAATCCCAAGTTATTATAATAGGCAGCTCTCGGGTTAGAGCAAAACTTAAGTATGATCAATTTCCACAAATTGTTTTTGCTGGAGTTAATTTACATCTCACACAATATACAATTAGACAAAAACTTGAATTGGGATGTGCAGCTCAAAGAATGAGTCGCAAACTTTTTGCCACTGCCGACGAAGTCAAATAGGCAACTGCCTATTTGACTTCTACGGAATGCACATATTCTAATGATGTTATTTAGCATACTTTTCAATCCCGTTACTTTCTCATTCTCGCCTCTTGAGATCATCAGACAATTTGCAATTGGATATGCTGATGCATTGTACAATCTTCCACGATAAGGCTTTAACATTATATGAGTAAGTAGGTAAACTTACATTGTTTTTCTTCATATACAGTATACAGCGTGTTTGGTAATACATGTATAATCCCGAAACATGGCCATACAACTTAGCACAAAGAACATAATTAATATGTCAAAAAACAATTTCACGTAAATTGAGATCTTCATACAAATATTTGGACAATTTGTTTTCAATTAATATTCTACAACCCTGAAAGCTTATACGTGCCGTCCCGGAGTACTCACTCTCTCTCTCTCACACACACACATTACGTCTCACTCCCTCTCGTTTCCTAGAATACACTTTGATTTCGCCGACGCGCGCACTTGACTGCGTATGGGTTTACTTGTAATTAAAACAATTTAAGATTAAACAGGTACATACCTAGAGGCAGCGTTCTAATCACTCTCTCAGCTCTCACTTGTCAACATTACCTACACTTCACTTCCACTTTATCAGTCCAAGGTCTCGATATGCCGGCCACCGCATAAAACACACATCTCCATTCGATTCGACACAGACCGTGTTACTCTCGACGTAAAATCATATCCTCTCTCGATGGAATAGGTGTTCGGCCGGCCTTCCTGTATCACACTATGGAATGAACCAGTTGTATATAACCGATTCACAAGTGCCGCGAAGCACTGTTAAGAAGGAAAACGTCGAGGGTTTTCAGATCTTCCTGACACGTGGCGCTCGTCATAAAGCCGCCGAGCTGCAGCAAGATTACCGTCACAAGCACCAACACACAATATCATCTCGTAATATTAGGCATTTGAGTACGAACTCATTGCACTGACCGCACACAAACACAACACACAGGTAAACAGAACGAGTATGAAAAACAAACCAAAAGTCCCGAAAGAACGAAAACGTAAGTTGACCTTCTAAATTCTGAAAACTCACAAGTACACCGATGAAAGTCTCCGGCGCGACTGAAGCGATGACCTAAACTACATAGGTAATTATTACAACTCGAACACCAATGTAGGTACCTAAATCAAAAGTGCACCGATTTAGGGTTCCGCGTCATCAAATTCTGTGTTAGGTAACCTACCTAACAAAAAATCGTTATTTTATTATTTAATTAAACAATGAAATTTCAATGAAACTTATTATACTATTTTTTTTACTGACGAAATTGATAATTAGGCTGTTTACTTATTATTACAATTTTATTTACGCTTTTCACGGTTACAAAAGAAAAAAAAGGCCATTATATTAAAAGTGGTTACCTTATTTAAGACCAAATCATTAACAAAATTATAAGGCATAAAAATTATTGATTAAATTAGAAAAGAAAAGAAATATTATTTATTTTTAGACCTTTCCATTACAACTAACCTTTATTTAATTATCTTTAAACTAAGAATAAGCAAGATATTTAGATTATTAATATCATTGTATAAGTCCGTATTTTATTGTTTCGTGAAAATAACACTGCTTTATGAAAAAAATAACAAAACTTCAAAGCAATTAATCTACAGAACCTTACTGACACATCAGAAACCAGAGTTTCTCAATACACATCGTCGTCGATTTTATGTCTCTGTCGCTCCTTCTTGCATAGACTAATGTGAGCAATAGTGCAGATATCTAACTTCAATCAAAGTATTTGCAATTTCTTTTTTATTTTGACTGTATTATTAGAGAAGTTTTCTTAATAATAGTTTTTGAAACACCGTAATCACAAGATTGGTGTACTTTTATGGTTAAAAGTCATTTACTACTTACTTTTTCTTTGTTTTGAAATAATAAATTACTCTCGAATGCATATTTATTCTAGGCATTTATCTTTAGATTTATTTATCTTCTGTTATTTTTTAAACTAGTTCAGCACATGGAGTCGATGACCAAATACAACACAGCAGCTGTTTTTAGGGTCGTCAGCGTACAGTTTTACTTCGAAGAAAAAAAGCTAAATATCTAGGTCATGTGCTGGGTTTCAGACTTAGTGATCATTTTTCTGGGTTCTATTCATCATACCGTATGTGCCATATTCGGGATTATACAGGTATTACCAAACACCTGTATATGTACACCATCCACTAGCCCATTATTATTAGCTCATTTATGATTTAACTCCATCGCGAGGTTGCCTAGAAGAGATCACTTTTAGTGATAAGGCCGCCATTTGTATATCTCCTTTCTACTATTGAAATTGTAAGTGTTATGAGTGTGTACAATAAAGTATATTCTATTCTATTATACGTAATTCTTATGTGGCAACACTCCCATACGATAGGTTTCTACTAAGGGTGTCGAAAGTCATGTCGGAGTTGGTCGAACCGTTCACACGGTAGGCCAACCAGGGGGTACCAAATTTCTAAGTACGGATAGAATATAGGTGGGCGATTTAACAGAAGGAAGACAGCAATAACCGAGCAAAAGAGACAGAACATATTCAAAATATAATGTTGCCACTAACAAAATATAATTTCATCTTTACTTAAATAAAAGTAATAAAAAATAATAAAACACAATTTAACTACTGCAATGGCAAATAGAGAATTATTATTATTTATAAAAAGTTTATTTACGTTACGAAACAGTCTACAAAAAATAAATAGAATAAATACTGATTCCGATATAATTACTATGGTAACAATCATTGGTCATAACCATAACATAAAATTTCCAATACTTTACACTTTGTGTTTTGGTCTTGTGGAGTATATTGTTCTGTGAGACCAACTACAATGGTCGGTGGTTGGAGCTGCGACCACCTACATAGCGTTGTGTTATTCATTCTTTTTTAATGAGGATGAGTGAGGACCTCATTTTCCCTCGTGAGGGGCTCGCGAGTTACCACTCATTTGAGGTGAGGATAGGTAATGTTATAGTAGCAGTGAATGAGTACGTAGCGAGGCGCGTGCAACATTGCCGTTTGGTACAAAATGAGGGAGGGAGTCGGTAATAATGCTAAACAAAACATATTTTGTCTTTAGATTCTAAGAAATAAACTTTATTAGATTATTATTTAACAGAATGACCACAACACGCAACTTATTTGCAATATTGCCTAATGTTCCATTTTTTAAATCAATCATTTATATTTCGAATAATATATTTCTAAATAAAACCGATACATTTTTATTAACTTTGGTTTTTAATTAGACTAATTAATATCATTTATCTATAAAATATTAAATACGTATTTACGAAGAAGCACATAAACAAACCTGAATCGTTTCAAAAAACTCATAAAACTTAACCCATTCCCTCAATCTTAAATATATTGAGTATGAATCGAGGAGTATGTATGTATGTATCGAGTCGCCTTTTCATTCGAAACAACTCGCTATTTAGCTCTTCACTCAAAAAGTCCACCACCTCATTTAGCTCCTCACTCAAAAAGTGAGGAGCTTAATGAGGTGGTTCAAAATTGAAAAACGAGTACTCCCTCATTTTCGAGTCGAAATGAGGAACTCAAACGAGGTACCTCGCGAGTGAGGGGCTCATCACTACCCTACAATGTGGATGGCACTTAAACATAAATGTCAATGTCAGTTTTCAGTCACTGTGCTTTATACCTATTTTGAGCGGTCTGTTTTCGTTTGTAAATCGAACGAGTTACAAACTGATTTTATTATTTAAGCTAAAATAAAACATTACCTATAGAAGCAAACAAAAACATTACTCAAAAATCCACCATAGCTTAATTTAATAATACTGAAAATTCACGGCAAATAATAATCCAATCATGACTTCGATTATCAAACTTCATTGTCTCTCCGGAGCAGGAGATGAGTCTCCACCATGCTACGTGCTCCAAATTGATGAATTCAAAATCCTTCTAGACTGTGGGTGGGATGAGAAATTTGATGTAGATTTTATAAAAGAATTAAAAAGGTAAATTTTGAGGTTATGTTTATATTATGATTAAAATATTATCTATTTCCAGTTCACAATTCTAGCACTCTTGAATCTTTTTGTGATCTGTTTGTGATTAATTCCAGTATATTTTAGTTTTTGTGTTCTTTCTTATTTCAGGCATGTGAACAGTATAGATGCAGTTCTTCTATCACATTCTGACCCCTTGCATCTGGGTGCTTTGCCATATGCTGTTGGAAAGCTTGGCCTTAACTGTCCAATTTATGCTACATTGCCGATTTACAAAATGGGACAAATGTTCATGTATGACTTATACCAAGCTCATAGAAATGTTTCCGACTTTGACTTATTCACTTTGGATGATGTTGATGCAGCATTTGATAGAATTATACAATTAAAATATAATCAGAGTATAGACATGAAAGGTAAGAATTATGTTTCCATTAAAATAATTCTAATAAATTTGAATAGAGTTGAATATAGGTATTTTGAATAAGCTAAATCTTGATCATGGTTAAGGTAATAATATCTACCAGGACTTTGTGTAATCCATAAAGAAAAAAGTTACTAAAATGCCCTTGCTTTCTTCCATGTTCCAGGGAAAGGTCTTGGAATACGGATTACACCATTACCAGCTGGGCACACTCTTGGTGGTACTGTATGGCGTATAGCAGCCCCTGGAGAGGAAGACATTGTATATGCCCCAGACTTTAATCACAAGAAGGAGCGGCATCTAAATGGCTGTGAAATTGAAAGATTAATGAGACCTTCACTACTCCTACTTGGCGCTATGAATGCTGACTATGTGCAACAGAGGAGAAGATTAAGAGATGAAAAGCTTATGAGTAGGTATTCTAACATCCTGTGTAATTATTGAGTATTCTAATATGTTTGATCTGATTAATACACTACAATGAATAATATTTTGCATATGAATAAGAAATATTATTGGTACTTTATTATTATTATCAGGGTACAATCAAATGGCAAAGAATGGCAAAAGTGAGGGATGAATTAATATGTTCTATGTTCCCATACAAATACGCATTGAGAATAAAGATGCTTGCTTGATTTGAGACTTTGAGTTATAAAAACAAATTGTTATGATCATTTTGGATTATATCAAAACTTATTTTTGTATATAATTTAACATGGTTAAGATGAAATACCTATATTAGTCAAAAACCATTCCAAAAAACCTATTTACATTTTTTTCTATTGAGGCGTTGTATTGAAATTTATGTTTCTATTTTTAGCAAAGCATCGATTATGTGTTTATTTTTCGTGAAAAGATTTTTATTTAGCAAATATTTGCATAGCTTTGCAACAAGATTGTATTAAAAAGTAGTAATTTCATTGTGGGCTACAGCGCTTATCCACTACTCCACCAAGCTACTCTTATCCCCCATATATCCTAAATTAATTAAAAAATCACTGTGTTATTACAAACATATAAGTTTGATTCTGTTAATAGCGACAATTCTGACTACCCTCCGCGGCGGCGGTTGTGTACTGGTATGCACGGACACAGCGGGCCGCGTGCTGGAACTGGCGCACATGTTGGATCAGCTGTGGCGAAACCGGGACTCGGGCCTTGTGGCTTACTCTTTACTACTACTGTCTAACGTCAGCTATAATGTTGTTGAATTTGCTAAATCACAGGTAACATTTTTCTTTTTTTTTGTTTTTCATACATTAACGCTTAAGTTGCTTATTATCATGTATAAATAATTGGTCATCTGTAATTCACGTCTCATGAATAAAATTTTACAATGCCAAATCAAGCTAAGAAGAGCATCACAAATATTACCAGAATGCATAATGTAAGTTTTCTTTTTTCACATTTACGTTCATCGTCGATCTTAAGCGCGTTAAGATTTTAGTATGGAAACCAGAACAGCCTTCATAGTGGTAACTACCAAAAACTACAAATCTCCATACAAATTCTTAACATAAAACTTACGATAACCACTCAGTTGTGACATTCATGTAGAGTTGGCCGCCACCAACTATATATAAATAAGTATTGTTTTGTTATTGCATAGTGAAGTATTGTTTGTTTGGTGTGAAAGGATGATAATGTTTGGTAATTAGGTGTGAATAATATCAATACACCATTTGCATTGGTGGTATTCGTTAAATCTTAACCTAATTACTTACCAAAGATAGCTATATGTATATATTCATATCATCAACAATGTGCTTGGACTTATGATCTGATTATTATCTGCCTGAATCAAACCAAAATTCTTAAATACCATAAATAGCTGGCACGGAACATCACAACAGTAAATACTATATTTCGTTTGTATTTTGCATAGAAGCACACATTACAACTAAACAAAATGTCTCTTCTACAGATAGAATGGATGAGTGACAAATTAACACGTGCTTTTGAAGGTGCTCGGAGTAATCCTTTCGCGCTGCGTCATCTACAGTTATGCCACTCTGTAGCCGAAGTCACGAGGACACCAGGCCCTAAAGTTGTGTTAGCATCCTTCCCAGACTTAGAAGCTGGATTTGCAAGAGATCTGTTCCTACAGTGGGCTCCACATCAACAGAACTCCATTGTCTTGACTGCCAGGTAAATTAATTTACAACCAGTTTCTGAATTGAGAAAATTACAAAATCTTGACTGATTATACTTATTTAATGTTATACAAGTCAAAAAAAATCTAATTTTATCAAACTGCTATTAATTGATCATAAAAAACTAAAATTAGAAATGAAAATGTTGCAAGCCGTACTTAAAGCTTGCAACATCCTCAACTACAAATTCTCTATTCAGAAACAGAGTGTTAGTCTATACTTCCTTCGATATATTATTATCTGTGAATGCAGAGGTTGAACTTCTTTCGCATAGATTGATCATTTGATAGGCGACAGAAATTATTATTTTGTACTCCTCCATGTATTAAACTGTTGGTTCTCGCTATTTGTAATCTGTAGTGAACCATTCTCCATATTTCTTTCCCCATATATATATCCCAGCAATTGGATATTTAGAGGCCAACAATAATGCTATCCAGGCCCGCGCCGCTAGCTGTTTCATCGTCCGTATGCAATACCTATTATGCCACCCTACGGCTACATAATATCCTGAAATTTCTTAAAAAAATGTTATTTAATGTTTTTTTTTATTATGGTGGAAAAAAAAAGAAAAAAATCTTTAATAAATTCAGAGGGGATTCCCCTGACTTCACAAGTTTCTGCTTTTCTTTTTTCCGGCTCTTGACCTTTGGGGTTCGAAACACCTTCACAGTGAATCCTTCATTGGATACCTCACAGCCGGCTGTGAGATTATCTCATACTCCTACTGACTAAACACCGCCCTGGACAGTTGCGTGCCCTGAAGGGGCAACGAACCTTCGACTTGTGAATTGTCACATCGAGATGTAAACTACTTTTCATATAGTACGACTACTTATATCGAATTCGAGGCGCAACCAATCCAGACGGGTGGTTTCACCTGCTGACAAACGATGATGGTATTGCATATAGATGTTAACGCTAATATTACGCGCCGCAGCGGTCAGGTTTATTTCTCTGGCCCGGATCTAGGGCTTTATAATTCTTTTCTAGCACATTATAGACAACGATGAGACGGACATGCTTTAATAAGCCATATACGTAATAGAAATAAGCGAAAAAATTCGTGCACTGCAAAAATATATTAATAAAAAATCCGATCTCATATAGCGGGTGGGGGGAAAAGAGGAAGGGCGACATACCAATTTTCTGCCCCGGTTAATAAAATTTAGATCCGGGCCAAAAAAGGCTAATGATAAATGATGTTTGTCGTAGAACATCACCAGGCACACTTGCTCGGGATCTGGTGGAAAAGGGAGGCGATCGCACAATAGAACTAGTAGTGCGGAAGCGAATCCGTCTGGAGGGCGTTGAACTGGATGAATACCTGCAACAACAGAAACAACGGATCCACCTTAACAACACCGTCAAGTAAACTACCTTTCTTTTTAAATTAGATACATGAGAAGCTTTTCTCTAAGAACATCTATGTACAGTAAGATACAACTTATATAGCTCATTTTTGCGCAGAGCAGCATGCTTACTCTTGAATACATTCGAGATCGATCAACACTGCAATAGGGGATCGGACAGCAATCAAATAAAATGTGGTTAAAAAATCATAAAGTTAAAGATTATTGGCCGAATATTTTTGCTAAATAAGAATTTTTTTTTTTTAATCAAAAAACGAAAATGCAATTTTCTAATATTTGTAGTCTGTGTCTCACGTCAAAAAAAAACACCAATCCGAGCGCGTGACGTAATTTGTAGATAAAATTGGTAGTGAAACTATCTAGGAAAAGCGCGGGAAACATTCAAAGCGCAATAAAATCGTAATTATTTATTTGATTTTTAACAGGTAACAAGGGTCAGTTTACTGTTTTATTGAAATATAAGTACCGCAGACCATAATTCCTTTTTTTTTTTCAAACAGTTAAATTTTAAACATAGCTTTGGACTCATGAGGCTAATTTACATAATATAATGTTTTTTGTGGGAATAAGCACCCATAATTATTAATTTAAAACAGTTTATTCCGTTTCGTATTCTTGAGTACACTAGCGCTACTTAACGCAATATTGCGTAGCCGAATGTATGCAATATAATTTATAGTGAGGTTTGGTTCTCTCTTAGTTTAGCCTAACGATGCTTGCTGATGTACCTAGTTCTGCCCAGGTACAGTCTGCGCACGTCAGACTATAAAGAACTGTTTTCTCCACTTAATTTTAAAATCTTACATTGAGGGTAGAGTTCAAAATCAATTGCGGAAGTTTAACATATTGTGGTCACCTGACGTGCAGCCATGTGTACATCAGTGAGCCAAATCGGTCAACAATTCACGGAAAAATCATACATACTTTGAAATAAAATTTAATGCCATTAAAGTTGAAGATACGCTAAAAGATTGTGTATTTGGAATTTATTTTGCTTGGCTGATGAAATTCAGCTTAAAAGATGGACTTTGAACATCCAACATTAAGTTACATACAGGGCTTGATTTGAGGTTAAACTTGACCTGCATTTAAAGCTCATAATTTCAATTGTTAAGCGTAACTAGCTGATGAAGGTAGCATTAATATTATTATATATCATGATATTATTTAACTCGTTAGTTTCTGTAAATATCACTAGATGACACAAGACTTATCTTAAAACATGATAATTTTAAATATTTGAAAAGACAATTCCTTAAATAGATAAATTAATTCATAAATAAAATATAACCAATTCATATTGGATTTTTTTATATTTATTACAAAAATTAGATTTTTTAAAACTCTGACCTGAAGTTCATACACCAAACTGAAACAAATGAAGTGGAACTTTTAACTTTATTTGGAGACTATCTTTTGCCCGCGACTTCGTCCGCGTGGTAAAGTTACTTTGAGTAGCATTTCTGACGAATATTTATTCATTATATCTTGTAAAATACCTTAAAAATGTTTCATCCCCTATTTTATCCTCTTAGGGGTGGAACTTATCAAAATCCTTTCTTAGAGGATGCCTACGTCATAGTAGCTGTATGCATGCAAAGTCTCAGCTTGATCGGTTTAAAATTGACGAAGTTTCATACAAACTTCCATCCCCTATTTTATCCCCTTGGGGGTAGAATTGATCAAAATCCTTTCTTATCGGATGCCTACGTCATAACATCTACCTGCATGCCAAATTTCAGTCCGATCCGTCCAGTGGTTTGGGCTGTGCGTTGATAGATCACTATGTCAGTCAGTCACCTTTGAGTTATATATATTAAGAGCAAATCCAACTTACAAAGTAATATTTATACGAAAATCATACAGTTCCAAAATAAATATATCACAGAGAAGAGACAACAGGCATATCGTCAGACTCTGATTCGGAAGGTGAACTAGAAATGTGGGTGGTGACGGGCCGACACGATATCCCCGTGCGTCACGACACGCGCCCCTCTGGATACTTCAAATCGAACAAGAGACACCACGCCATGTATCCGTTTCACGAGGAGCGGTATCGTGCCGACGACTTCGGGGAACTCATCAAGGTGAATCTTTTTATCTACAGGAAATAATAATTTTCTATAAATCATATAAATTCTTTAATATTGTCTTCGTTACTGTTAATTAATGGCCATATATTAATAAGAAACTTGTAACCGTTAGTTACACTACAAAGTTCTGTTCACGCAATTCCAATGTAACTTTCAGTTCGAGTGAAAAAGACTAAACAATGAATACTTGGCTACTTGACAGTACTAAAAATAAATTATGAAATATGTTGAAATTGTTAATTTATATGTAAACAATAACTATGTAGCTTTTTTTCATTTTAAAATAAATTGCAAGTATGTTTTAGTTTTGCGAAATTAACTTGCGATTTATAATCTTTGGAGTACAGGAACCGAAACGCGGGTGGCCATGACAGAGCATTCTGTGACGTTAGATTTCAATAAACTAAACATCAACATCTTTGTTGTGAGTGCAATCAATACTAATTATTTTTGAAATGTGAAGTCACAGCTCGAAATGTCACGTAACCGTTGTCGCGGGACAATATAAATTGATGAATAAAAATATGTTTTTCCTTTATTTAGTAATACTTTTGGCGGGGGATAATAAATCTGATAGTGGTCTTATATGATCATATGAAGTAGCCATATAAAGCTCATACATAAGTAAAGACCTTAAAACTTTAAAGGACTACTCAAAAAAGTATTTTATACTTTGTATACGAAATACGGAAATTGCTTTTATTGTTACCAACGAACGTCTACATAAAAAAATACTTCTGAACTAAATGATACTATCTGAAGTGTTTTATTTCAGCCAGAAGATTACAGACTCGCTGAAATTGTTGATGCAGAAGGAGAGATACGAGACGTGCCCCCCGCGCCACCGCAAAAACAAGAACCTGAGGGTACTAAAATCGAATTTTCAATTTATTTGTGTTATTTTACAATGTCTTATTTAATTCACGTTATCAAAAACACGCGTAATGTTTTAATTTCACACAAAGATGTAAAACACACATAAAATAAAAACCGGCCAAGTTCGAGTCGGACTCACGCACAAAGAATTCCGTACCGAAAATTAGCAAAAACTCATGTTTTTTTTCCGTATGGGAGCCTCCTTAAATATTTATTTTTTTCTGGTAACAGAAATATACCAACTGTAAAAATTTAATCTGTCTAACTTTCACGGTTACAGTGTCAGACAGACAGACATTACCCTATTACTAAGACTTCGCTGTGCCTTTTGGGTATGGGTATGGTAACCTATGTTATTTAGCAAAAAATTTCGTAAAGATTATATTTAATTCACACAATGGGAGTCGCAGATATAAGTAGCGCGGTGAAATGAAAATATACCTTGACTCAATCATAACTCCCAATTAATCTTAGTTTAATTATATAATTGTTATTTTTATAGATTTATATAATGCATTGTCTCTGTCATTCCACTTTATAACTAAATTCTAACATATAATAAACATTCTTATTCAGAGGAATTGACAGAGATACCGAGCAAATGTGTGACGTCAGTCCGACAAGTGTCAATAAAGGCGAACATTCAATATATTGAGCTGGAGGGTCGTTGCGACGGGGACTCGTTACTTCGAGTCGTTACTCAAGCAAAACCCAGGGCTATTGTAGGACTTAGAGCATCGGAATCTGCATTGACGGTACTGAAGTAAGTTTAACTGCTATTAAAAAAATACTTATTAAAAAAGCTTATTATAAGTTATCCGATTATATAACTGATTACTTCTAACTGTGATTACTTCTAAACTCATTATCTTTTCTCTCTCTCTCTCTCTCTCTCTGTTTATAATGTATTGATCTGGTAATTACATTTTTTTTGTAAATGTCATTACTCTTATTAGAGCTGGTGAGTTTCTTGCTCGTTCTTCTTATCAGCCAAAAGACGTCCTGATCCTGAACGAGTGGTAGGGAAAAAAATGTTGTACGATTCAAAAGTACTTTTAAGAAGTCTATTTGAATAAAGATTATTTTGACTTTGACTTTAATATAACCTAAGTTTGTTATAGGTCAATGTCAATAGACAATAGACTGACGTCTAGTCTAATGTGCCGTAAGCATAAGTCTGATGCAGATACCTATCCCAGGGTCATTTACTAATAATTTTTAAACTACTAACAGTGATCTGGCCCGCATGCCATGGGTAATTAATGTCCCCTAGGATTTTCCTTTACAATAATAAAAACAATATCGGGTTAAAGCCATATAAATATTATTCAGCTCTCACTGTCTAACTTACGTGATTACACACAGATGTATCTCCTCCATACTCTATCTATGATACTTCTATGGTTTAAGCGTAGCTTTTATTATTTTATTACATTTCATTACCTTTCCACACTGCCGATCTGCTTAATATTTATCACGACAACATTTTTGTCAAAATGTCGGTGTTTGACAACTTTCAGATTAAAAAAAAATGTTTCTTGTAATTTAATTTCAGAAAATATTGTGAGGCTGAAAACATAGAAAAAATATTTATTCCATACAAGGGTGACATTATAGACGCCACCACAGAATCGCACATATACCAGGTAGGAAATAAAATTATTTCTCATGCATATGCATACTAATTAAAATAGGAAAGTTTATATGTTTCTTTGTATAACCTAATGAATAGATTGTACTTCCGAAGCAAGATTTATATTACATCAATGTACAGCGTTTTATAATAAAACTATTTATTATTTAACCGGTACTCAAACATGTTTGTTATTGTTAAAATAAGTTGGTGCAACTAATCCTAAGGCTCGGTGGCACCATTACTACGGTCAAAGTTATGGTTTATGTGAAACTTGATAATATCTGCCACGCTGACTTTAACATTGACTATAGAATGCGTAGCACCGTCATCTTTCTTGGCATAGGAAAATAATAACTTTAACCACTAAAACTTAAGCGGTTACAGTTTATAGTCAAAGTTATGACGTCATCTAACCATAGCCAAATGATGACCCATTTTTTATTTGCTTAACCGGTAGTTTAACGTTATCGTTTTTCTTGCATTTAGGTGAAACTGACGGACGCATTGATGAGTAGTTTAGCGTGGCGTGCCGCCGGCGATACAGCGGAACTTGCTTGGTTATCTGCCGTGTGTACAGCGAGACCACTGCAGAGGGAAGCGAGACCGTCAGGTAACAGCAGGGTTTGTAATTATTAAGAAAATAGGGATGATGACTAATTTTTGTTTTTTTTTGTCCGTCAGGTAGAGTGTTAAAAATTATTAAACACGTATTTTTTTCGTAATCATAAAATTACGGCGTTACTTGGAGTTGAAATTTCGCATGACGTCACGTTATGGTACGTTTTCTACTAAACTATGACGTAGCGAGACCCCACTCCTCAACTTTAATGCCTGTTATCTAAGCTATTTCTTGTTAAATTGAAATAAAAAAATACGTATCTAATATTTTTCTATTATCTGACTGACGGACTAAATAGAATTGCAATTTTTTTACCCAGTCGTCATCCCTATTGTCGGATAAATATCTGATAATTATCCCTCGTTACTGGCAACACATTTATTATCATAATTTTGGATTATAAAAAATGTACTTGAAAACATAAACAAAAAATTAACGGTGAAATCACATTAAACAAAATGTGAAATATAAATAAATGAATAAAGAAATATATCAGTGTTATTACAAAAGAGATGTTAGACAAGGTTTTACCCTATGTTTAAGTAAACAATGTCTAAGAATATAAACCCTGTTTAAAATGATGATTAACTTTATCTATTACAAATCCATTTTTAATCGTTGTCTAGCTAACACTGGTTTAAACATGTAACCCGTAAAACGTTCGTTCAGTCGGCTTTCATTCGTTCATACACGTTCCATTATATGCACATTGCATACAGACTTATAATAAATTCTAATCGTAAAAAGATATGTTCAATAACGTATTTGCTTATAATTTTCAAAACTAAAAAAGAAAGTACAAAATTAACATTTTTAAATTGACACTTCTATACATAATTCATTTTAGAGGTAGGTTAAGTGAAACTATAGCGAAATATTATGAAGAAACGGAACAACGACTACCTGACGACGAACCCAACGCCGCACATGTTCACAAGCTGTGTACAGACAGATGTTATGCACACATATATTTAGCGGACCTATACTTAATTTAATATATTTAATATATTTTGTCAGCAAAAAATTCACTAAATATGTACTTTTTTTAAATCAAAGTTCATTGTATTGCTCAATTGGATTCATTCACATTCGGTTTGATTACGCGTCCCGAAAGCTTTCCGTGTAATCTAAATCAACCATATCAATATCTGTAAGAATATGGATGAATTTTTAACAAAGAACAACCTATTTTGAGGTTAGACACTCGTTAAACAACTCTCAACGAGTGTTTATATTTTAAACAATGTTTAAGGGGTGTTTAGCCTTAACCAATGCTTAAATACGATTTTGTAATAGAAATTTTTTTAAACACATGTTCATCGCGTGCTTATCTTTTTTGTAATAACACTGTATATCTTTAAGTAAAAAGAGTTGACAACATTTTTTTATTTTTTATATAAATAGTCCATTAATATCTGAGAAATAATGTAGAAGTAACAGCATATCTGCGATTAATGTTTTCGGAGATACGTTGCTATGTTTGTTGAACTGCTGCTAGTCGGCCAAAAACGGTCCCTGCAAATTCAAAGCACTAAGTGACGTCACACGGTGCTACGATTAGCTAAAAACGTATGGGCGTCAGGGCAATATTTTTAATATCTTTATTATTTGTGCGTTAATGTTAATAATTTTCATAATGAAAGTTGTAACATTTTATGTAACTAATTTAATGCCGTATGTATTTTAGCAATATTTTATGGTATATTTGTCCTACTGTTTCAAGTTTTAAAAGCGTAATATTTACCAAATTAGTGTCATGAAATTTATTTTGTTAAATATTTATAAGTTAAAATGATTCATATTTTCCGAATATATAATAGAAACCTGTTTTTTCATTTGTAGGACACAAGCCTATTTTCTCTATTAGAAAAATCACATTTGATAGTCGTTTAAAGATGATTCACCTCCCTAAAATACAAAAAAAATGTTATAATCATCAAGATAATTATAAAAGTATATTTATCATGATAATAAACATTTCAAACCTTGGATAACAGACACATACATACACTTATATTAATATTATGTGGCTAAGTAGTTTCATATAGATCTGAAGTGAGTGAGACATAAAAAATGGTGGAATTACTTAGGTTATACATCACCCAGAGTGTAGGTCAGGTGATGGATTATTAAAAATATCCGGGGCGCCGTAAAACATAATTATAGAAACAAAAATAAATGGTAAACTTAAGTAAAAACTATGAGCTCTTTAAACGCTAGAATTTTTGGCGCGCTTTTCGTGACGCCATTGTCTTCGAGTAGAGATATGACAATTTCCATAAAAAACTATTTTGAGTGATTGATTTTTAATCAGTTACTCAAATCTTTTAAGAACTAATAGATTTGTTATAAGTATTAGTTTTAATCAAACTGCTATCAACTGATCATTAAAATTCTAAAATCCAATTTTAACATTAACACACGGGTGTTACCACAATGTGTCATTGTACCTTAATTGGTGAACTAAAAATAAGTCTAAAACTTTATGAAAATTATAGTCTGTTGTTTATTTTGCTACATAAGACATGGATTTTCTTGCATCAATGTTAACTTTTTATAACAACATCCCTATACGTAGACTTTGTCATCACATCCTCTCTGACCTGCATTAATTAATAATTATTTTACTGACAAAAACGAAATAATATTAGAAAAATATTCACATCGACATTATTATGAAACAATAACGTTCTTAATAAAATACATTTAACCCTTTTTTTATTGAGACGCATATTACTTATTTGTGTATGGAACACGTACATCCTTTATTAGATGAGTCGACGTCTGAGGTGGTTATGTCATTGGAGCCAGCTGAAGGTACGGCACATACGGCCGCGTTCATAAACACCGTGCGTCTGTCGGAGTTGAGGGCAGCCATAGCGAAGATAGGACTCAGCGCTGAGTTCTCGGGCGGTGCTTTGGAATGCTGCAACGGTACTCTCGCCATTAGAAGGGTGAGATATCTATCCTGAGCTAGATTTCTTTTTTTACGGACTTTAAAATTGAAAACGTGGAGGTTCGATGTGAAAAGTGTGTATTTTTTTAATGTATGTTTACAGATGTTTTTCGCGAATCATTGACCTATTTTCAATGTTCTTTTTTTTATTCGACGGCTAAGTGGCCTGACTGGTCTGGTGGCCGGACATATGCAGTCTCGACAGAGTTTGCGATTTCAACGATTTCAACTGTCAAATTAGAGATATACGTTAGTTTTCTAGCAATCGAATTCACACGTTCCAAATGCACCTTATGCCTCAGGCTTTATTATGCTCGAAGTTGAAAATTATATTAAGGATTCCCGGCACTGATTGATATTTTCCTCAGTCACATTGTCTGACTAATTTGAGGATTGTACTGTTCGTGTTTTACTGGCACATTGATCTATGAACAAATTAACTTCTGAAATATTTAAAAATCTGAATTGTAAACTTATGTTTTAGCTTATTTTAGTAAATGCGCTAACCATTGTGCCTGTGCATTGTGCATTTTGATGTTATCATTATCATATTATCTTTTTTCAGTTGGACAACGGCAGGGTGGCGTTAGAAGGAGTACTCTCAGAAGAGTACTACAAAGTGCGGGAATTACTATACGAACAATTCGCAATAGTGTAATTCTACGTACTAGACTGAATCTATGATATAAATTATAATGATGCTGTGTAAATAAATATGTATAAGGATAAAACTAGCAATTATTTTAATCCAAGGTGATCACGTGACCTTCGTACTCCCAAAATAATAGGTTGGGGAAAAATTTTCTTAGCATTTTAAATGAAAATTCAATAAAGTTTATTACAATTTTACTAAAGTATGTAGGTACCATTTTGTTCGATAACTTTTCGCCATGTTGTAGGTGGGGACATGATCCCATTGCTATAGAAATTTTGGTGATCAAAAACCGTGACAAGTGGTTTTGGTAATCCTCGCGTGATGTTAACCTGACACTGCCTAAAGAATTCTGAAGAGACAGAAACAGGTGGAAATCTGAAGGTGCAAGGTCAGGACTATACGGCAAGCCAAGCTTTCTTTTTGTCAAGTGGCAAAAGATGTGTGAGGTCTAGCGTTGTCATGATGAAAAACCACACCCCTTCTGTTGATTAATTCTGTCGGCTTACTCTCAACTTCTTGCTTTAATCTCATCAGTTGTGCACGGTATAGTTAAGAGTCGCTGGTCCTGCCTGGCAGTAATACCTCATAATGAATAATGCCTTTCGAATTCCACCATACTCACAGCATCACCTTGCTGCGATTTAATCCGGGTTTCTCCACAGACTCGAAAATTATCAGCTTCTTCAAAAATGTTTTGGTTTCATTACACCGTAATATTTTTTATGTACCCAGATTAGTTGTTATTATTGTAATCATTTTTTTCTTTCTTTGTAATTTATATAGGTGTCAATAAAATATTATTCTATTCTATTCTATCTGCGAATTTCGCATTATTCTGCCAATGTCAAGTAAATAAATCAATTTCTACATGTAAAATGAAAATGAAATGAATGAAAGATGGCGATGATTAAAGCGCTTAGACGTTGGCTTAAACCAAAGAGAAAAACAATATAAGCTTAAACCAAATTTATGTTGCTGTCACAGAAACTGCACTTGGACCATAACGTCACAATTTTTTTCGCGTCTTGCATTGCATTTAACCTCTTTTGTAATAAAGTTTTAAAATTTATCGAACTTCTTCATTAGATTCACTCATTTTGACAGTAAGAAATGAAAATCAAAATCACACATTTTTCTAATTTTAATTCGGAGTTATGTTCTATAAATTTAAACTTTTTAATGATACCGAAACCAGCCAGATACAAATTGTATACCTAGCCAGAAAGATTTTATTTAGTTTATGCATACTATATGCGAAAAGACTTTTCCCCAACCTAATAGAATGCATTAGGAATAATATACACGTATAAAGCGGAAAACAAGGACCAGACTGAGCGTTAAAAGTACACAATATGTATCGCTTTCTACAGAACCCTGCAATGTGTCCGCATAGATAGCAAAAACAATACGTGGATATGGATAGCGATACGTATCGTATAGACTAAGCACTGGTGATTTGTTATCATCGAGGATTATCGTTACTGTCACTGGCTCTTGTCATTTGTATGGAAGTCACCTAATCGTCACGTGTTCAAGCGCGCGCACCACTTCGTTTCTCGGGCGCACTGCCAAGAGTCAAAATAACGGTGACAGGTGACGGACAACAGTCACGGTGACAGAAGATAGAAAATACTCTACGCTTGTATGTGTTCTGTGATTGAAAGTCGCTGTGACGGGTGACAAAAAATCAATAGGTCGCGCGTAGATAATTTAACGAATGTTGAAGATCATCGCCATCTTTCATTCATTTCATTTTCATTTTACATGTAGAAATTTATTTATTCACTTGACATTGGCAGAATTGTGCGATATGTGCAGATTAACCATTCATAAAAGAAGAAGATACTTTTAACACTTAGATATTAGGACTCATAATCCCTTTTTTTCCTAATCTACAAACAATATTGCCTCGAGTCTTGATACTAAAATATTATATTTAACAAGTGATATAGTTAGTAAGTCTGGGTATTGTGGTGCCTTCGTTGTCTTAGATACTCTATAATATGATGGCTTTATCTGAGAAATGTCTGTTTTCTAGTACTTATTTATTTAATAACAACGTGTCGTCTCAGATAGTGAAATGAAAGTTCTATTCAACTGATTTCAAACAAACGTGACGAGCCCACCCAGCTAAATTCGTACCACTTATAAATATAAGATACACCATATACTACCACGCTGATATGTAGCTTTAAATCTGGAAAAAAAAATTAAAAACGCTCCAACACGTTTTGAGTTCATCTATCACTTACTCATACGTTTTATATTAAACTGGTATGGCTGTTTGCCGTTTATCTCAACTTTGTCCGCGTTTACCCGGTATTAGTAAATAATAGGGATGACTAAAATAGAAAAAAAAGTATATAGTCAGATAATAGAAAAATATTTTTTTTCTTTTTTACTTCAATTTAACAAAAAATAGCTTATATAACAGGTATTAAAGTTGAGGAGTGGGGGCTCTCTACGTCACATTTTATAGAAAATGTACAAAAGCGTGACGTCATGTGACATTTTAACTCTGTGTGCCGTAATTTAATGATTACGCAAAAAAATACGTGTTTAATATTTTTCAACAATCTACCTGATGGATAAACAAAATAAAATTGTCGTCATTCCTAATCCTAAAACTGGGCCCTGTCGTATAGACCACTTTTTATCAAATCACTCTTCAGACGTCAGCCAAAACATGCCAAACACGTTTTTTACTTATCAAAAACAAAACTCCAAGACTGACCATCTGATTTTCTTTAGAATATATTATTTTTTCACGAGTTTCGGAGCGCTGTATTTGCAGTAGCCTGGTTTTTCATATTCAATTTTATGTCTACAAGGTTCTAGTACTTTCGGATAGTTAGTGATGTACAGCGTTCGTCCTTTAAACTACAATTACCAGTCAAATTCCCAAATCATTTGTACCACTATATTTATACTCTTACATGCCACTCATGCTCATTAGCTTTCATGAAAAAATAAAATAAAATTATAATCACCATTTAATGATTTATTCTGTTTTCAAGACCAGTTCACAATTAATAACATTATGTAAATAAACAAGGTACGAGTAATTACAAATAAGACACAGGTATTGATGAATCCTCACAATAACATTTGATCTGAGATGACATTTAAAAAGTATTTCTCTAATATTACATCCAGTCATAATTTTCTTAAGTCTACGATGTTCGGATGTTAAACATCCACATTAGTGTACCTAAAGATACAATTAACATAGTTTGAATAAAAAGAATTTTAAAAGCTGCCACAAAATCAGCTGTTTTATACCATGAGCAATAATTTTCGAAACGAGACGGCCATTAGTTCGTATAGCGACATCTCGTTCCAACAATAGCGTAACCACCGCATTAAAAATTCACGGTAATACTGTTCCTTTTATTCAAACGAATGCGTATTATATAACAAAACTCGCAATAATACATTAACCGCAGATCAATAACGAATCAACTTAATTCCTAAAATCTGGCACATTTCCTTACCTACCATACCCTGAGACTATCTCCATGTATACACATAAAACTATAAATAACTTTAATATTCTTAACATAAGAATAGTTACAACAAAGCCAATGTAACTTAAAAGCCTGGAATTAAGACGTCAAAATTTATATAATTTTGTACAGTTGGACATGTTTCAATTACATCTTCGCAAATCACACACCAAATTTTACAAGATAATTTTCAAACCAACAACATTTTTCAAACATATGTAAGACTTTTGTTTTAAGACTTCGAATATTTATTGACCCCTCACCTAATCAAAAGCTGATCAATTAGTGGGTTTACTGTTAGTTTGTTTAAAATTCGGAGATCAATAAGACCTGGAATGATAGTTGTTATTTAAAAAAATTATCTGTATTTTTTTTATTCTTACACATATTACGTATTATTATTTTTGTTTATTCATGCAAAAGAAAGATAATCACACAGTGCCAATATTTGAGTCGTGATATGCTGCTCGAAAGAGCTCAGTTAATATGGACGCAATGAAATTTGTTTACTATATGCCAAAAAGCAATTGTAATTCTTCATTTCAATTTAAATCAAAGCTCTACGCATATATAATTTTACAAAAAAAAAAGTATTTTCAAAGATATCATTAAATATCATCAAATTCATTGACTTCCTTTTTACATTTTGTACATATTTCATAGAAAACGACACGTCATACGTAACATATTTTGCACTCTATTGCATTGTGATAAGTATTATTTACGCATGATGTGTTGATACCACTATATTTATAAATATATTTCATTTCTGTGATTGGTAACAGACATCGAGGTATTATTTGTATTAAAAAAAAAACTGTTCCACTATTTTTCAAACATTTAAATATATTTTATGTACATAATTACAGTCAAGATATATTTATTAATATATTATAACAATATTGTATAATTACAAATCACAACAGTGACGACTCGAAATATGTCTACTTAGATCTTTGTTAGTCTTGAAAAATATGAGTGGAAAAGATCTTCACTATAAATCAAGTTAATATTGCTTTTTAAATAAAATATTATCAAAACATTTTTGAGTAACCACTGGTGTTAAATACATATTGAGCTGGAAGACTGACTATAATTTTAATAAATCAATTAATTACTGACAAATGAATTATCTTACCCTTTTTTATTCGAACAGTTTAATTGCTTGAATTGTGGCAGTTTTAATTGTATATTGTCACATGATTTTTGTATATATGATGAAACTAGTCAATATATTATTGCAAATGGAATTGACTCAGGTTTTATAGAATAATTAAATAAATAAACATAACAATCGTAATTGATTTGCAAAAAAAGCACGATCATGTCTCATGTATTCTTGTGAACCACTCAACATGATACATAATATTGACATATATTTGTAAATATAGATAAAAAACGTATACAAAGACACTTCTGTTGCCCAATGTGATAAGCTCTACGATTTCTTTAAAACAAAAAAAAAATATTTTACCACATAATTATATTCATATTTATCAAAATACTTCCATCCAATCACTTATTGTAAGAAAAACCACCGCCTATTTCACTCTCTGCTTTTTCATTATGTATTTTAACTATACAAAATTTAAAATTTATAAACACCACGGAGAGTTATATTTTTTTCACATTTCATTCGATTTCGAAACTTAATACACAATATAATTTGAACATTACTTATGAACAATACTTTACAGTGATTGACAATAGTCAATGTGTGCAGTCTAGCTACTTGCGGGTCAACACAAAGTATTTTATTCCTATATTACTATACTTAATCTCTTACAGCATGGTAAGCTTAAATATATTTTTATAATAATATACAAAAATAGTAACAAGTTTTGTACTTAATCCGTCCATTGTTTTGTACATTAACGGCGCGGGGACGCGACTCGAGGGAGGAGGTCTAAAGAAATATGTTTGGACATTCCGACGGTTGCCACTCACAGCCATAAACCTATACACTAATAAAAAAAACAAAGTCCGCCCAATAAATTACATAGTATTTATATACACACAAGAGTTCCCGAAACTTATAAATGCATACAGACTAAGAAGTATGGCATACGATCGTCGCGACTCGATATGTCACTGGTGATGTATAATAATCATATAGAGTTCGCGACCCAGCGCCTTTCTAAGAACGTAAATTAAAATAGTCCGCTGTCACCACACAACACGGCCTCCGTTAATATCCGAAGGTACACTTTATAAGGTACACGTCGTCGGGATGTCCCACACGTTGTAGGTACACAGGTACACCGTTTGGACGCCGCGGTCGCGGTCGTCGAAGGTATAATACCCGCAAATTGCTAATGCGCCTAGCCGCCATTTCGGTGACGTAATATGTATGACGATTGGAAAAAAAATCTATTTAGTCCGTCAGTCAGATAAGTCAGATCAATATTAGATACGTATTTTTTTACTTCAATTTAACAAGAAATAAATAACGGGCATTGAAGTTGAGAACTGGGGCTCGCTACGTCACAGTTTTGTAGAAAATCTACCAAAGCGTGACGTCATGTGATATTTTAACTCAACATATCACCGTAATTTAATAATTACGAAAAAAAAATACGTGTTTAATATTTTTCAATAATCTACCTGACGGACAAACAAACGAATATCAGTCGTCTTCCCTATTGCGTTCGAAAATAAGTAACATTAACAAATAAACACTGGTTTACGAGTATACTGATTGAGTTGGGTTGTGTTGAGATCACAAACAATTTTTGTTCCTTCCGGTTGTTATTGTTAAGTTTGTTGTTACTTGTTATGGGTGACTAAAAATGCAACTGCTATTATGATTTTCACTATAAGTATACCTGATTTCACTAAAAATAAATATATCTAATATTTCTCATTTCATTATTACTTTTGGCCTCAATTTTAACATATTAATAGATCTTTTCCGAAAATTCATGCGTGTAAATTTACGAACTAAAAGTGATCGAATCATTGTAACAATATTTTGGAAATTATTCCTATATATTTCAATAAATAATTTATATTTTCAAATGACGTCACGCGTATGTTGTTTAGAAAAGGATCCAGCGCGTTAGCAGTTTACGGGACTTATACAGTATTAGTTCTCACCGTTCCGCCGTTGAATGAGCGTGTACCGGTGGATCTACCGTAGACACGCCTCGAGCATTTCTACGAACAGTTTGTTCATTGGCACGCGCCGATCGCGATGCACTCCGGACCAGAAACGGCGGACGGCTACGTCCGCGTGCCGTAACGCCGGCATTACTAGTAGCAACTGTTGCAACGCTGAATTAGCGTTGTACGGCCTGCGGATAAATTCATCATCATCATCAGCCTTTTTACGTCACCACCACTGCAGGGGTTCAGGCCTCGCTTATGAACGATTAAGGGGGACGGACCACGCACTTGCCACTAGCCCAACGCAAACGCAGCCAGGACTACGGCTAAACGTGCCTTCTGAAACACGGAGTTTTAATATTTTGGTCATCCATCCCGTGACCGACCCTTGCGAAAGATGCTTAACAATAATGACCGAGGGCCGCGGCGCTTATCCACTACGCCACCGGGCTATGCAGATAAGTTATAATAAAGTACTTAAAACCAACTCTAAAATGAGTTGGTTTTCTAAATGATCTGTTTTTTATTAAAAAAAAAACTCAGCTGAGACGAAACGAATTTACGAATCTGATGAAATATTCTGTCGTAACCGTAAACAATGACCATTGACTTAGCTCAGTAGTTAGATGCAAAATGATGCTTATTTCATTATAATAAAGCTCAAGGTAAATACGACCATGATAGTTTTTGGATGTTATTTATTTAAAAGTCAACTTTACTTCCATTGTCTTGTTAACATTTTGGATGTACACATTTTAACCGTGAAAAGGTATTTCTCACGTATCTTGTTGACTCATTAATAAATTTTCCAGACGCTACGGATCTTTTCTGGTTCTTATCAGACAAAAGAAATCCTGAACGAGTGTTAAAAGCGTTGAACTTAAAGTTCTAAAGTACTTTAAATAAGTTTATTTGAATAAAGATATTTTCAATTTGACCGTTCCACATTTAATTTAATAAAAAGTAGGGTTAATGTTTTGTGTTACCTTCGTTATTTCTGATACTCTATGATATGAGTGCATTAACTATTCATCTTAGAATCTGAGCAATTTATGGGGTGTTGGTAAAATTAATTATATATTATATACCTGAGCACACTAACGGCATCGTTGAGAGCTGCTAGTATGGCATCACGGAATCGTCGTAGAGCCGCGTGTTCATCGATCCGAGCTTCAGAGTTAGCAAGAACTAACGCCTTCAACAGGTAACACTCCTCGCGCATCGCCGCCGCGCTCTCTAATCGCTTAGCAACGCCTACCACCTAACGACAGACAACACAACACTTTATAGACAACTATACACAATATTTTTTATTATTATCCAAGAAAATTGAGACAAGCATCTATTAACATCATATATTTTTTACACGAAAAAAAATACATTTATTTTTTCTGAAATTTGTAGAAGCTGCGCCAAACGCGCGTACACTGTCGCCAAACAATGACTCATACATACATCTTATTAGTAGACCAACAAATAATACGTATAAAGTATGTCGTTTTGGGTTTTGGGATCTGCCTTGCGAATTCACTCAGGTGTCCGATTCCACTTCGAACGCGACATCCGCTTGACATTGAATCGGTATTAACGGTTGGAATTAATCTTGTTTTATATTTCTAAAATTTAGATTTTCTTAAAATACACGATTTGAAAAAAAATATATTTAACTTAAAATAATCGATGTAAACAAAAGCTATGAATCTAAAAAGTCAAATATATAACCTAATAATAAAACGTCTGTGCGAATTAATGTCGATAATTCATAGAATAAAAACACGAGATGGGTTTATATGATAAATTCTTATTTATTGACTGATAGAATCGGTAGTAATACAATTTGGCTCGACCACACAGCGTGCGCGGATTAATTACTCAAAATATAAAACGCGATCAAAGTACAAATTGGATCTGTTTAAAAAAATATTGATTCTGACGAGCTTAACTTCGTGCCGTGTATTATTACAAATTTAAGTATTGCGTTACTGATTAGTAGTTGTATGTAGGCTATCAAACTTGGACAAAATTAATTGTATCCAAAGTTTATTATTAATCATATACATGCAGTAACCAACTCGTTTACATGCAATATAACTAATGACTTCATGATCACTGTTTGGCAACAAAACTTTTATTATCCAAATAAATAAAATTATATCACTTAAAGATAATAGGTATACTAAAGAAAGCATGAATTGAATTATATCAACTTTATATTGTTCTAATTTTATCGACGCTACTGCGAAACTCTTAGTACGGCATGACTAATTACAAGATCACGTCGATTTCATAGATAACGCAACCGAGTTCGACATCTTTTGTTCTCTCATTCATTAGAAAAAATTACGGCAATATAGTTTCTTAGAAATTAACATTAAATATTACTGTCTATCCTCAGGTCGAATCCCTTTCGAAAAAATATATTTGCCAGCTTTTGACGTACTCTCCTTACTATAAAAAGAATAAGGACCGGTCGTACCCTCCTATAGTTCTAACTCTCTATTAAGACTCAGCCAACAACAAAAGAAAATTTCGAACCCTCTAATTATTAGATGATGAGTAACGTACTATACATTTATATTTCACTTTCTCTCATCATCATCAGCTTATTTAATATTACCACAGGTGGGGCACCGGTAGTCTCTATGGAATAATAGGGAGATCTACTCACAACCCTAATAGCCCGGTGGCGTAGTGGATAAGCGCCGCGGCCCGCGATCGTAGTCGTTAAGCAACCTTCGCAAGGGTCGGTCACGGGATGGGTGGCCAAAAAATTATTATCTCAAGCTACTCCGTGCTTCGGAAGGCACGTTAAGCCGTTGGTCCCGCCTGCATTTGCAGTCGTTAATACCCTCCAATCCGCATTGGGCCAGCGTGGAGGTTCATGGCCCATCTTCCTTAACCATCCATAAGGAAGGCCTGAGCCCCTGCAGTGGGGACGTAAAAGGGCTGTTGATGGTGATGGTGACTCACAACTCATCACGCGACTTGGTGCCCACGCCCAGCGGATTAGGGGGTGGTAATGACTGCAAATGCAGCTAGTACTAGCTTCACGTGCCTTTCGAAGCACAGAGAAGCACAATTTGTTTTTTGGTCACCCATCCAATCTGTGGCCCTTGTGAATTGCTTTCGTATCGCAGACTGCTAACTACTACGCCATCGAGCTACTTATTTCTCTAATTAAGATGTAAAGTAACGCTTTCATTCATGTCGACGTTAAAGAGACGACACTAATGTTCTAATTTGATGGTTTTATTAAATTTTCATTATATATAGCAGGGGTTCTCAAACTTATTTCGTCTACTGATCACTTCGATAATAAATCATTTTTAGCGTCGTAATTTTTTCATCTCTTTAAAAACATTACAACTTCGAATTAAGAGATTAAAAATTCATTCTAAATAGGACTTTTACTATAATCCACAAGAGTTAACTTGTGACATGAGCGCAGTAGATAGCACACATTTTTCTGAGTCTCTTACCGCCCTCATTTAGGCCTGCAGCACCCACCTGGGGCCGTTATCGTACATTTTGGGAAAGACTGAAACTATAGATACATACCACTTTCCAAAATAGCCTAATTTTACCACATTCAATGCCCGACCTTTTAATTATTTATTTATATGGTATCACAACAAACATTCATCAGAACCACGTACCAGATTAATGTGTGTGTTTATACAATGATATTTATGGTTTAAAGAAAAAAAATAATAATATAGTAATAAATATCCACTAAATATGTATTTACCTGAGTGAATATGTCCTGTGCCCCAAGTTCCTTTGCCTGTTTCTCGTCCAGCGTTAGGTCTGTCGCGAACCTGAGCCTGAGAGCGCTCCCAGACTGCATCGATCGGTATGCGAGCATCAAACTCAACATCTCCGCCCACGTACTTTGCAAAAGTCGCATCTGACAATCGACAAATCAGACTATATTAATAACCAACTTTAAATTAACCCATCTATACATTAACGTCACATTTAGACGAGGAGTCGACGAAGTCTGCATTTGAGTGACAAACGCTTGGTCGCGGATAATGTGAGGAACTTTAATGATCCAATGTTTTCCTTCTTTTCAATGCTTGGTTATATAATAAAAATTGTTGTGTTGCAAAATACAATGCAGATTAAAATTATTAATTTAATAATTTCTTTTTAAACTCTATTTAAATAGAAGTAAAACTCATGTCAAACGTGTTGTTTTAATTCCAATACGTTATTAGGGTAAAACGGTATATGTAACGTCATACTAGGGAGAGATGGGAGAGTCAAAAATGTAATAACTGTGACAAAAATGAGGAGGGGTTAAAAATGTAGAAAAATAAATCTACGGATGGCCCCTAACTGTCAGCGTTGCTGTACGCATTTTATAGACTTAAAACTTCGATATCGTCACTTCTGAATATTATTTTCCAACTACAGTTAATGAGTTTATAATAAGTTTATAATAAGCATCACGTTTCTTATTTCTGTTGAAATTAGCTATTGATCACGATAAGTTAAAAAAAAATTATGCGCACCAATACAACAGTTATAATATTCAAAGTAGTTTTTTTTTCGTTATACACAGAACTTCTGCCAACATCCCGTAATGAAGGAGACACTAATGGAATTGCTCGGTAAAGGTTTTTATTAGTTATATTACTAATTTTTAATCATTTTTTTCTTTGATTACACTCTCGTTTCCCTGACCTAAAAGGACAGCACAAAGCAAACGTCACAAATCCTACTAATAAATTAAATAATGAAAAATATGGCAATAAATACATGATAGTGACATGCAGGTTATAATATAATGTTATATTTTTTAATATGATTTCAAAGACACAAAAAGATAGGTTTATCAGAAATATACAAGACAATATTAAGATTAATGGAACGGGATGGTTAAAGGTAGAAGTTGGTCATATAAAGAAGGTTGTTTCAGACAGTTGAAGAAGATGTGATCATTTTGAACTTCCTTGATTCCGCACTCACACATAGAACTATCTAATATACAAAAAAGTTGTATATTAGTTGTAACAAAGTTGTATTATTTCAAATGTTTTGTAGGTTTATTATCATGATTATGAAAGTTTGTCCGATTATCATAGGCCTCGAGTGACGTAATCGCACGTCTCGCACGTCACAGCAGTTTTGTGCCCTAGTTTACGCGTCGCTTCTAACAAACGATACGTAGCTGAGTCATTATTATTAGCACAACGAAGTCAGCGTACCATGAGAGAGTAAACAAACTTTGCCTTCGCCGATTCTAAATTGACATGATTAGCAATTTCACGGTCTGCCTTTGAAAAATGTTTATAAATCCACTTTGTCCCTGGTAATCTGAGATGGGACATGGGCCCATGACCTTTCGCAATCCGGGCGGCTGATCTGATCTGACCACAGAGCTACCTAGGACCTAACAGGACTGACGAATTTTTCAAGCACTTGTTACTTTAAATATTTGTAAAAATATTTCTATCCGTTGTTTGGTTGGATTGCCTCGACATTGATGAAAACACGCACACATAGTAGCGTACACACAAAAGTCCAATAGCAATTCGATCACGCGGCAATGAGGAATGTTAATAGGTATGGAATAATGCTTCAAATTTCGTTACAGTAAAGTTCTTATGTATACAAATACACAAGTTTTTTTTTCATTAAAAACAACCAAGTAGTTACGATTTTACAGGCATTTCAATTTTTCAAAAATTTGGAGTGCCGCTCACAGTCACGTAGCCGGCGTGTGACGTCATTTTCCAACGCAATAGCGGTGATAGTTACGAGATCTCGCGCCGTAATTTGTTTATTTGTTACGTGCTTGTGTTAGAGTGTTTATCCAATTAAATAAAATAGATGAGGGATTCATAAAAGGGCAATCGGAACCCATATATTTTCTTTCAAATAAAACTTCTTGATGACGGCATTATTCATCACAATTTTCCATTGTATATAAATCTTCAAACTGTTGGAACATTCGAGCCAATAAACAAGACGCAAACGTCAATTGTTTTGTTAGTTAAACAAAAATATATAGTGTTTTTAACAAACAAGGTTTAGCGTTGGAATAAATTTACGCTGAGACTGCACTTAGTATTAATCAAAACTCATATTATTAAACAGAGACTTAGCGAAGGTTAACCTAGTACGAGAATGCGGGAGTAATATTTACACCTAGAAGGTAAGTAGGTTTGCTTATTGTCTAATACTAAAATTACAATTTTAGCATAAATTTTATTTGTTTATTAATAGCACTGATAGAGTAGTGACTACGAAATAGAAAGGCTTTAAATGACTCGTTTGTCCTCTGTCCCAACCACTTGTTAATTCGACAACATGCTTACTAATTTTTCATACCTAAAGAAATACCGCATCCATAATAATCACTAATTTTAACTTTGTGGCACAGACGAACTAAAAAGTATAGTATTCTTAATGAGTATGTATTTTATAACGTTAGACCATCTTTACGCATACAAAACCAACTTTTGTGCGGAGCCACCGCTATTCCTTATCGAAACTTTTTTGAGTCGTAGCCAAGTTCCAACAATTCCTTTTCCAAACATTTCAAACATTCCCTATTGCCTAATTTTAAAATCTAACACAACAAGTTTGAATTTGATATTTGAAAGATATTCGAATTTGATTGTATTGCGAATATGATTGTATTTTCGAAAGACATTGAATGCATGATTATGTTTATTTTGACGTTAATTGGAGTTATCTAAGCAAAGTAATATTCACAAATATCTCTGAAAGCTATTAGAAATTTTCAACGAAATAAATTGTTTATGACATTTATATCATTCCAAAAGAGCCTTGTAACTTAGAAAGGTACACAATTCTATAAATGACTATCACAACCACTATACGTTTATAAGGGATTGGAATAGTCACTGCCTGCTTTTTAATCAGTCACCTGGTCTCTCTTACCTGGTCATTAAGCTGCAGATCCGTAAAGCCGGGTATCTGTTTAGCCCATCCGATCACGCCGACCAGTTCTCTATCATACAAATCGGCGAGGAGGGCCAGAGTCTTAGCAGTGGGGTCATTCACACCGGCTGGGGGCGCGGCACATGTCAGCATATCTGGCTCGTACGACGCCAGCGCCTCCAAAACCTAACAAAAAAGAAAAATGGTTTTCAGCATTCGTTCAAAATGAATCAAAGGCACAAAACGCAAATCTAATACCAGTAATAACCAGGAATGTAGTGATTTACGTTGTGCTCAAACCATTGTTCAATATAATATTAGAAATTTCTAATCCTGAGAGATTGTTGTAAACCGTCAAAACATTAACATTGATAACAAAGTTACATCCGACAGAACGCACATTGCGATTCGTTTTAAGCATACGAGACACACAATTCGCTTATAGTCAGCGTCATAATCATCGAAGCGCCCAAGGTGATGAAGTTGAAAGATGTGAAATATGTTAGTTCAATTTTATCTAAGTAACTTATCTACTAACGAATCTTTATAACACTATTTGATTCAATTGGATTCGAAACAATTTGTTAGTAGACAAAGAACAAATTATGCCAAGATATTTAGATCACTTTGCGTACTTAGATCAATATGCAACTTTGGTTTATTTATTTTCACTGGTACACTGATAGATTACAATGCCTAAATAAAATAGAACTACTATTCACAACAGTACTGGCGTCTTCCACATAATAATATACCTTTATTTATATCCTTAATGAAAAATGCTTAAAAAATCACTTTTCCCCTGGCACTCTGAAATGGGATTCGAACTCACGACCTTTCGCAATCCGGGCGACTGCTCTAACCACTGAACTACCCAGAACCTAACAGGACTGGCGAATTATTGAAGCACTTATTACTTTTTTCGCTACTACAGAGCGTACCAAGGATAAGGTGGACTTATTCATTAAAAAATATTTTCCAGTATATAGAATTGTGAACGCAAAATTTGCCAAATATAATAATACCTTTATATCGTCCAGCATCGGTCTGGGTGTCGGCGGGGGTTGGTCTGGCGCCCGCCGGTACTTCTGCCGTCCGCCGCGCACTCGGTCCAGGCGCACACCCTCGCGCAACATGCCCGTACGCAAACACTTGCGGAACCTGCACGCTTGGCACGCTTTACGACGACGCTTGTTGATCTCACACTCGTTAGACGCCGGACACGTGTACTCTATGTTGCCCTATTGAATTAACATTTCCATGCCACATTTGGAAAAACAATGTCCCTATTTAAATCTCATTAACGCTGTTATTACACCCACGCAACGCCATGCATGCGAAACTATGCGGACAGGGATGTCACCGTTTGAAAAACAAATTCGTGATATCGGATAATCATCAGAAAACATTTCGCAACTGACAAGATTTCGCAAATGTTTCGCATTCGAATGCGATTGCGTTGGTGTACTAACGGCGTAACTATAAAAAAATATCCATTTGAATGTTAAGTGGTAAATGGATTTAAATAATTGCGAATAGAAAGAAATAATAAAATAAATAATAGAAAGAAATAATGTAGCGCATTACCAGGAATATTTTCAGTATAACCAAATAAAATAACGTCGTGTCTGCAGTTTAATGTTACGACTATACCTCCCTGAATCATAAAAGAATCAAGGCAATACATTTGTCTATTACCACATACTCTGATAAGTTTAGGTAATTAATGGATAATAGAATTCGGTTAGCTACGGTCACCTTAATTTGCGTGTAGAATGGATATGGACTAACCTGTATTGTTCTTTTAAAGAACGCTTTGCACGCTTCGCAGCTTGCCACTCCGTAATGGAATCCCGAAGCCACATCGCCGCAGACCAGACATAGTCTCCTCGGCGCGTCATCGTCCCTGGCACCACTGGCTGCGGCTGCTGTGGTAGATGAGCAATGCTGCTGCTCAGGGCTCGTGTTGCCCCCTATAGTACCATCGCCAGGGGACACACAGTACTTCACTTCTTCTTTCGGCTCAATGTCCAGCTGTAAAAAAATAATAAATTCTTCGTATTATAATAACACTGACAAAATTATGGGAGTGACCAGCCAGACTTTTAATGGATTTATTCCCAAAGGCACTTTCGATTTCCTTTCCACTCAATGTTTATTAGAAAATAAAATTTGATGTTTTAACACCTTACCGGTCATTGTATTCTGATCTAACGATAAGTCGTGTACAATAACATTTTGCTAGATCGAACACTTAATTTTGAATGTCCAACAAATTGGTGAAATAAAGACATTTTTTAATCTATCGCATTTTTTTACATGCGAGGCTCACCATTTATTATTATATTTCCAAATAGTACACCATTACTGTCCAACTGAGATTTCTAATGGTCATCATACCCTAATAAATGTATGGAAATATCATATTTGAATATCAAAAAATCTTTATGACATATCAAATGAGTTCATCGAAATAATATTAAATAAATAGTAAGCTTCGCAATAGAGACCTGTTCTTACCCTTTACCCTATCACATAATTTTCGAAGAACCACAGAGTTAATTTAAATAAAAAAAAAAACTGTTATTTCTGTCCAATAAATCATTTGTAAGATCAAAGTACAAAGTTAATTAGCTACCGATGTGAATATTGTATTTTATTTACAGTTAATTAAATAAGTAATTTTTTGTTTATATTACATTGCCAAAAGATAATAAAACCTATCTGTTTACAATATTTCCTTATCTAATTCTTATCTGACCCGTTACAGTCTCACCAACAATGCAACGGTAGTTGCATGTACATATATGTACTTTTATAGTAAAAACAAAAGGCTGTTTGGTAAGGCATACACTTGAACTACTAGTACTACTATTTCTCTTAAAGAAAAATTCTCGCGAAAATCGATACCAAACACCCACTATCTAAATAAAATTAAATATCTCCTTTAGAACACATTTTCATCTTAGTCGAAAGATTGTTTTTTTTAGTGCACATAATTACAGTAATTCTAATGGCTAAATAAGATAATCTACGATTTCGAATAATGTACAAAAATAAAAAGAAATGTTGCCCGGAAAATTGGGAAAATCAGAAAGAACGTGCTTATTATACAATAATAATCCATTCGGCTAAAACACAAATACCGGGAACATTTATAATATGGGCCAAAGAATATTCTTATCATAACGGCATGTGATTTCATTTGAATGGATTACCTGCTCCAAAACATGTATTTCGATTCGCTCTAACGCGGAAGAAACGGTTATTGCAAGGACGTTTAAATATACATTCTAAATGTAATTTGTTTTTTTTTCGTTACAAATTACATATGCATATAATTTTTAAACATTAGCCTATAATGATATAAAATACATCCTATAATTAACCCAAGATAAATGGTATGGAGTGGAACTACATAGGTACACCTTTGAACGTTCCAACGTTTCAATTCCAATTTGAAAGCTCAACTCAAACAAACTGCTGCACCTGACCTTTTACCCACGTTTAAAGTCATTATGCACGCGTAACAAGTTAATTTATTACCAGTTAATAAATATTTTCCACAAGTTGCGTAATAATGCCCATAGTTATTGCTCACCGTAACATTAAGAAACGCCACTTTCATTTGGGGCGTGGCGTGCTGGCTGGTGGGTGTGGCCAATTCGTTCAGCGCAAGCACAACTTCGCTGACAGTAAGAGGCATTGAAATTTAAATTGTAATTACAATATCCCTTATGGTTAATATTGAACATTTAATGGAAAGGAATGTGCAACAAATAATTCAAGTCCGCTTTCCGTTTATAATATTGTGATAACACGAAATTATTATTATAATAATTCTAGTATTGTGTGTTTATATAACACAATATAAACGCAGAAAGCAAATTCTTAATGATTTAATTGTTTTTTAAATATCCAAAAAGGGCTGCCAAGTCCATGTGGTCAAAGTTTTTTTGTAATATAATGTCTCATAAATGCAACGCAAATTGTTTAAAAAAATAACGCAAGTGTAACGTTCTACCAATACCGGACAATTGACATCAATATTTTACTATTTAATTTGATGCATTTCATTTTTCAAACTCAGCTAACGCAAAGATACTCTGCTGGAATTGAATTGCCCTTTTGGTTAATTTAAAACAATAGTTACCTACGACGAAAATTCACTGTAAATAGTAACATACAAACTTCTGCATTTCAGTTGTCAAATCTTACCTATAGAGCGCTGCAATGTGCGAAAAGCCTAAAACGAACCTATCTAGGCGTCGTCGATCGCCTCCAACAGACTGCATGGCCTTGAGACAAACAGTAAAACTTATCGCTTACTTTATATATAAATAAATATATCAACGAAAACAATGCAGATATAAACATAATAGTCCATTAACGGTATGACATTACCAAAAAATATTATGAAATCATTGTATCATGTAATTTTCCAGCGGGTACTAGATTTAGTTAACCTAAAGAACTTGTACAAAACGACAACAATGATAGCAAGTTGAATGAAACAATAGACCACATATAAGTAAAGAACAGTCCAACAAGGAGTCACGAAGCTAATGCTTTTGAAGATATATTTAAGATGTTTTGGACTGAAGTGGCAAGTGAATGTCTAGAAGACCTGCAACACGTATTGGAATAGTTATATACGTCTCTGCAAAAAAGGTAAGAAGACGAATATGACTTAAACAAAGGTCATGGCGACAGCCGACTTCGCACCAACCAAACCTATTCCAATGAATGGCCAACCGCTTAAGCAGGTTGAAGAGTACATGGCCTCCCGGATATTAGCTCCCAGGAGAAGGAAAACCGTGGAGATTTTAGAAGCTATGCCTATGAGATCTCGCTTGGTGTCAAAGCCGCCGGGCGGGATCAAGGAGAAAAGTCCCACAAAACCTTGTCGCTTACTAGGTGACAGATAGTACTGACTGCATTTCGCCGACACACAAAACAATCTAGGCCTGATGGCAGCGATATAACGAAGAAAACACTGGGGTGAGCAGCTTTGGGGAATAGCAGCTATTTGAGGTACTATGAGAATATTGGTAGTTGTAGATAATACTCAAGAATTTATCAAAATATTGAATTTAAAATAGTCTCCATCTACTTACTAGGATGCAGCCAAAAGTTCGTCGTACTATGTGCCACTGACGGACTAACCTCATCGTAAGCCCGGGGCGACAATAGGCCCGAATCGAAAACTTTCCAACTGAGGCAGAAACTTGATATTGTGATTAAACATTTTCATCTATATTATATTATTATGATTTAAGCAGATGGCCTTTGGAGGCCCCCCTGGATCACCCCCTACGCCCCCTACGCCCCCTACGCCCCCTTAGCCCGCCACTGGTATATGCCAAACGACGGGATAATCAATAAATAATGTACGGTATATATTTCATTAACTACCTGTGACTACGCAATAATGTTAAATCAAATTCAAATTAAATTGACATACCTATTGTATATTATAAATCCAACCAAACATAGATACTCACAGTGACTACAAGAATAAATTACTTAACGCGTTAAATTTTACCTCAGAAGGTTGCATCATTTGCAAAGGTCTCTGGTGCAACTGTGGTGTAAGCGGGGGCTGTGGTTCTGGGGGTGAGTATTGTTGTGGGGGTTCAGCTTCCTGCTTCACACGTCGCAGCAAGGGATCGCCACTCACCGCTGACATCATCTGTACCTGCATCAAAAAAGACTACCTACTTCATGATTACGAATAGTCTCAGTCTACTTTAATAGTCTTATTCGAATACTCTTTAATAGATCATTTTTTCAATGGCGATATATTAATATTTAGTATGTGGTATCGATCAGAACAATGTAGGTAGTGAATAAAAACAATTTAGTAACAGATCTATTTTTATTTATGATTCCATAAGTTGACATGAACATAATAACGAAGGTCAGGTTGACTTACAAACCCGCATTATTTCTATGAAACTAAAAATAATAATAATATTGTTGTGCTGAAAAAACTGTCTGATCTAGATTATTTAACAATCTCCATCCAATAGAAAACGAAAACAATTTTATCTGTGATGCGTCAAAAGTTTCAAGGACCCAAACAGCGAGTTCATTGTCCTCTTGACATTGCGTTATTATGTGATTATAAAATGATGACGTAAATCTAAATAGGTATAATTTTTATTCATAATTAAACACGTCTGTTTCATAAATTGAACAAGCGTATAATATAAATCAGATTGCTAGTCCATAACCTATCCCAAGCACTATTATGTTACTAGCAAATAGCAAAAGTTTGTTGTGTCGTCATTCGTGAACTATATTTAGCACAGGCCGAACACAAAATGACGTTTTATCATTACGACTGGATTTTTCGTGTTATCAAAATATAAATTATTTTAATTCTTTAAACAAATTTTACTTATTTTTAAAATAAATAAATGCATTGATGTAAGTAAACTTAAGAAGCCCGTTTTAAAAGAGATAACGTCTTTTTATAGTTTATTAGCTTTTCATTTTTAAGGCAATCGAATGTTTGTTACAATTTTAATGCATTCAGCAATATTAGGTTAATAAGCTTCGACTAGCAAATAATTTGACATAACAACCGACGACGACAAACAATAATTTAAAATACAAAATTAAGATTAATAATCAGCGTTTATTTAAAATAAAAACAAGGATTAATTTTTCATCTAAACTAAACCAACATCTATCGAAACCGTGATCTTGATACTAAAACAAAAAGATATGATGTGGAATAGGGAACCTGATTCCCTGGCGCGCCTCGATGCCATCTCGGTGGGCTAGCATAAAAAATAGGTATTCATACCCGACAACGGGTCGGCGACCGAGTGCCCGCGATATCACCTTCGTAGATAAACGGCAATTCGACTACTCGGGCCGCCAAACAAAGACACGTAACTGCCGCCGCGTTGAGGCAGGCTCACGTCTAATATTACCACGGGCACTTCCAGAAACTATCGAAGGATTTCATTATTAACCAAATCGATACACGACGCCTTCATTTACGATATTCAAATTTGTTGCTTAAGACATCTGTTTTAAGTAACCCGAAAATAATGTTGGTTTAATAAATTAGGCATTAATCTCTAAGCATGTATATGGTGTTAAAAGATTTTTCGACAAATAAAGAACCTGGGTCATGCGTGACATCGCATGATCAATATGGATTTATTGTTCACATAGTAAATAATGTAGCAATAAACTTGTGAACAGATTCAAAATTATTTTTGTTTGTAAAGATGTCTAGACAATATTGTCAATTTTTTTAGACGTAAGCACTACAAATACTTAGTTCAGATAATTTCCACGGTCGCAGACATAATTTTAATACGATCCATGTAGAATTTTAAAAGCTATTTTAAAGAAAACTTATCATTTTATATGTTTGTTTTAGATGCTTCACCCACGTAAATTTATAGCCTATGTCAACCCCGTATGCTGTAACTTCCCTTTGGTGACATAATTTTTTAAATCGGTCCAGTAATTTTGGAGCCTATTCAATGCGAACAAGTTATCAAATCTTTCCGTTTTATAATTTTAGGTAGTTAGTATAGATTATATAGATTTATTACAATGATAAAGCACATAGTAAACAATCGTTGCTATGGTAATATTTGATTCCCCTTAGAAACTTCCATTCCCATTTTTATGCCTTAAAATTTTTAAGGTAAAATGTAATCTATTACCTTCCCAGGGTCTTAAACTAGTGAAATGAAATGCATCGTTATAGGTCTTAAAACAAAGAACCTTCAAACATTTTCACCCTATTTAACCGTTTTCAGAGTGGAATTTCGAAAATTCCGTTCTTTGTACACCTCTACGAATAAGGTGAATGTACCCTCCAAATTTTAAGTTTGTACAACCAGCGGTTTAGAAATGTGCGTTGTCCGTCAGTCAGCAGGTCAGGACAAATAATTAGATTGTATACGATTATCGCCAAATTTTCTTTGATTAAATACGTTCGGTTCAGCTTTTTAGGAATATTAACAACTCCAAGAAATAAACCGTACATAGGTATCTATTTATAATAACAAAAACATACTGCCTTGACAAAGAACAGGCGATATAAATCAGAAAATCAGCGTCAAACGCGCTTACATTTGGCCCTGTCCTACGACAACATTCAAATGATGTCTGTCAATTCTGTTCAATTTTTGTGTGCGTTATCAAGAAATAGATATTTACTATTATACGGACAAGTATACAAACAGGTTGGTTGCATATTTTTATGTTATAACTAAATTGTTTAATTTCAGTTGACTTTATGGAAAATTTGCACAGATGTGCGCCTGATTAATCATTATTCTTTTCTGTCTCCTATCTTCATTTGGTCTCCATACAAACGTATTGGTAGTCTTTGTACATTATACTTTTGATTAACATAAAAATATGTATGTAGAATTACTAATACCGTTTTTAACAATAGCGCCAAAATAAATGCTGCAGTTGCATATACGTAGAACTCACGTTGAGTGTCTATTAAAAAGAATTCAAGGCTACGATGTCAGCGGGCGGCCAGTGACGTCATCCCCGACATTTTTAGCAAGGCAAATACTGTTGAAAAGTTTGCTCTAGTGAACATTTAGGAGCCAAATCTTTATAGATAATACATTTATCAATGGGGAAACACAAAAAGTTGTATTTCACATTAAGTCTTACTAAATGATTAGATAACTATGAGCAAAAAATTACAACGTTTGACAAGTAAGAGTCTTATTGATCCTAACAAAGGTAGGTCATGGATGGAACATAAAGCTTGAAGCCCAGGCAAAATTCGGTAGGCTGTAGATAAAAATAGGTATCAGGGAGGTGTAGAGACGTCGTCGACGCGTTATGGTAGGCGGGTAGGGTGGCAGTGTGCGGGCGGGAGGGGGTTCGTCTAGACGACGGCCTTGACCGGCACACGGTTTCCGCGCGCTCGAGGTCGCACCAACGAGACCCAGGCATACCTACAGACCGATTTGGAACGGTACCTTATCTACCTACTAGCAATATCCCATAAACATTCTATTGTGGTAGGTTGTAGAAAAATAAAGCAACTACAGCCAGCACTAAATGTACCCATAAAGGACACAAGCTTTGTTTCTTGTTTTCTCAAATTTATTTTGAACTGAACAAATAAGTATAATCTAAATAGCACACCTATCGAAATCGATAGTTAGCTACTTAATTAAGTGTCTATATAATTCGGCTAAACAAGACGATTGTTAAGAACGCAGCGTTCGCGGTCTATGAACCCAGCGAGGCTCGACATTGCGCCGACATTGGGCCCGAGCTAAATAACGCAGATAGCGAAAGGTCGACGACCGACAGCGCCCAATATCACACGGACAATCGTAAGAATCGCGCGTCGCGAGCACCTGCCACCTCGTGGAGCTGTTACATAATAAGCAACGATCAACGCATGTTCGATCGACCTACCCCAATTGCGCAGAGCTTGACTGGATCTACCATATTATTTTCATTAATTTTTCAATTTCATATCAATTCGTGATATGTACGTGTTTACGATAAAGACAAATTGACGAAATACGATGTATTTATAATCAATGGCATCATGTTTTATATAGGCAATTACAAGGACTAGGTAGTTGAATATAACTAGCAAAGAAATTACTTACGCTTAAAAAAGATTATATAACTAATAATAAGTCAAAATAAAAACTAAGCATGTTAATCTTAATTACGCAGAACTTCTAGAAAGCCCATTAGGCACAAAGCTTTGAGAGTGAGTACATAAAACCCTATTCGGAAATGGATGCCGAAGAGTTGTGCCGCCAGTTGAGGGGGGAGGGAGGGTGGGAGCGCCGAATATCTTCGTGCGGGGTGACATTGCGCGGCCATTGACGCTATGCCCGACCTACGCCACGGCATCGGAGCGCACGCTGGATTGAGCTGCGGAAAACACTTCATCCACATATCGTCTTCATTATAATAGGGTTATTGCCACAAAAACACCAAAAATAATAATAATAGGAGTTCTTGTAGAAATTAAAATATGCAGCAACATTTTTAAAAGTTGAGAGACAACGAGCATCGCCCTATTACAAGAGTATTACAATACATGATGTAATGCGACGCGATATGTGCCCCGTTACGAAGATTGCCTGACACCTCAGAACAATGCAATGAATGTATCGAGCATCCATCTGTAAAGAGAGCCAGTACAATTGTGCAGAATAAAGTAACATATTATGCTAATAACGAATTATAAATAGTTTCTGCTCGCAAATTCTTCGGTGTGAACTTTAGTAACAATTTTTGTCAATGTCATTGTCATGTCTTTGGTGTAATCCAAATCCGTTCAACCATTCCAGAGTAATTAAGTAATTAACTGTTAAATCAAAATAAATATCGACAATATGTATATATAGAGGATATTGATCATCAGCCTATCTTTACAGTAAGAAACCAATAACAGACTATAAACCGAACGCGTGGGCCTAGATTGGCATACAGAGTGTTAAAGTAGTCTTTACTTTAACATTTTAAGTATAGCTAGAACCAACAATTTATGTCTATATCATTGAGTAGCATTTTATAATAATAAATATCCTAGTTAAAGTTTATTTCTAACTAGATATTGCCTTGTGGAAGCCTAGTAAAGCAACAAACTATCAGTTTGACAATATTTGTTATTTTCTCGCAGCCGTATACCACACTTAATTTTTTAGATCTAAAGGAATAAAT